AAGGAATAACATGAATATTAAAAATTAAAGACATGAAAAATAATAATAAGAGAGACGTCTGGATGTAAGCATGAGCAGAGTTTTTCACAAAAATTTCAAAATAAAAAAGAAGCAGAGTTGAAATGTATTTAATTATATTTTCCAGTGCACGACAGAAAGAATGTCATTAAAAAGTTGATATTTTCTCAAGATAAAAAAGAAGTTTTTTTAAGGTCTTTAAGACATTCCGTCGCGTTTTGATCCAAAATAAAATAAAATCGTGCTCCTCCTTACGATTGGGAACGTTACATAAATACACACCTTTATTTAAGTCATTATGTCTGCAGTAATGTGAACATTTTTTTCCATTTCCTCCTTTTCCTTTCTGTCTGTCAAGCCGCCCCAGAAGTTTTCATCGCACAGAACAGAAAAAAAATTAGCATTTCAGATAAGGAAAAGCTAATGAGAGCTTTTGAATTTTTTATGAATGCGTTGCGCTCCCCTCCCCATCCATGAACTTATTGTATAATAATATTGATGTTGGCAGTGAGGATATGACGCACTCGGAATGAGTATACACTTGTGTATTTGGGTTGGGAATTAAAATTTCTTTATTTTTTCGTCGTTGGTTAAAGAAGAAATTATCAAATGCGATGGGATTCATTATGAAATTTTTAGAATGCTCTTAATTGGTTAAATGGCATCAAGAGATTGAATGATAGAGCAATGACTCTTTGAAGCAAATCCTTCGACTAGCTTCTACGACTGTGTTTCTTTAACTTTTTGGTCTGTGGATCTGTTGATCATCAGTTTATATTTCCGCACCACTAGAAGTTTCAATCCCGGGATGAAAATGTACTGAATTCCAAATTTTGATTCCAAGATTACCTACATTTCAATCTCGGAATTGAAAACTCTACGCGCTACACTTTAAACCACCATAGACACAGCTAGAATTTCACCAAGAACAGACAAGCTCTGCGGAGCAAAGTTCGAGAAACACTGCTCTAGGACTTTAGGAGCTTTGGCTAGCTAGGGAAAGCGTCCTTGAGATAGACTCAATTAGTGTCTTATTTGGAAGGTCAAAAAAAATCTGATAAGCAATTCAATTGTAAGCGTCTTAAGCTTCAAAATGATTATATTATTTTTTTTAAAGTTCATTCATTAAAGTTTAAAGTTTATTCATATTAAAGTTGAGGTTTCTTTCTTTAAGTCTCATTTTATAGATGGAAAGAGAAGGCGCGGACGACCAAAGAATTCCTGGAAGGAAGCTGTTGACAGAGATAGCATAGCATTTGGTATTGGTCATTGACAAAGAGTAGCCAATGACAGAGTCTTTTTCAGACTCCAACTAAGAGATTCTATGAATCACGATTGAACTGTAAAGCCAGCGATGTATGCATGTATGTAACGTTAAGGTTGTGTTATAAATTTACATTCTTGGTTAAAAACAATTTTGCCCCTTTAAATATTCCTAAAGAAAGCTCTTTTTATTATTTACTGCTTAACAGGCGCGTAGCCAGGGGGGAACTTGGGGGACAAATTCCCCTTCGTCTTGAGAAATTTCTTCTTTTCAAAAATACCCCCCCCCCCCCCCCCAAAAAGTTTTCCATACAAAAAAAATTTGTCCATCCCTCTTCAAATTCCTGGCTACGGCCCTGCTGATTAAGTTTGAAAAACTTCTTCCAAATCAAATCCCAAAAGATTCAAAAAGAACTCTTTACAAAAATACAAAAAAAAAGAGTTTTGTTTTGTTCCTCCCTTAAAAAAGTTTTTCTAAAGAAAATTTAAATCAATTTGTCAAAAAATAAAAATATTTTGTATGCGTATGTCTTTCAGTCTGTCGATAAGAGAAAGATAAATATTTTTTACGTATGCAAAACTCGTACCCATTTCACAGTATGAACGACTTTCACCCTCTCTTTTCATTTCTCTTCTTCATTCACTTCCTTACTTTATTTTACTCATTTTAAAGGATTTAATTGGGAGATGGGGTGTTGGAGTTGTTGTTTTGGGCGATTTGACTTTTTTTTTCTTTTGCTTAATTTTTAAAGACAGAAGCTGGAAAGCTATAATAATGTTTGTAACCGGTAAGGGTGTTCAATTAAGGTGTTTATTGCCCTTCAGCCTTTTCTATTTAAACATTTACTCCCCATTCTTGTGATGCGATATGAAGGTTGCGTTAGAGCTTAGGGACTAGCGAATCCACCATCATTAACCAGTCAATTGCTTCAAAATAATACATCATATATTATTAAGCTTGACATGAATCTAGGTTTCAGACTTTATATCCCCTCTAACTACTCATACTCTTTCCCATCTCTTCCTCAATATTTTCCATCCGAAAATGGTTTTCCTTACACAAAATTCATGTATGACAAATTTTCCTATTTTTTTTTTTGTTATGCTACAAAAAAAACTTTTCATCTTGAGTCCCCCATTTCCAATTTATGCTACGCAATAAACAAAACGACTAAATTTCTCAGTAACAAAATGCTTTTTGCTCTTCTTGTTATTCTCCATAAAAAAATAAAAGTTTTTTTCCCCTTTTCACATTTCTCCTTCGTCACTCTTTCATGGCAATAAAAGTGAAAACTTTTATATAAATTTTGGGTTCTCATTTTCATTTTAGTTTGACTCAATAAAAAAAAAATAACAGAGTCGCAAAGAAGAAGTATTCAAAATCATTTCAAATGCAATTAAACATGTGTCGGAGCCCTTGATAGATTAACGATGTTTGTTCAGCTCAAAATGCCATCAATCATTCGCTCAACGAAGACGAAGAGTAAAAAATAAAAATAAAAATGTGAAAAATAAGAAAAAAGTTTTTGTATAAAGAAGCACACACAAAAAAAAGTTTTTCTTACATGAGGAAAAATTTTTCATCTCGTCTTGTGTTTAAAGAGTACACATATCATCATCATTATCGTAAGGAAAATTTCATGCGCTATTGTACTAGTTAAGAATGGAGTTTTTCTTGTGAATATACATGTGAAAAATTAATTTTCATATGTAAGATATGAGAACATGAGGGGGTTAGTGGATTTGAATGGGGGTGAAGTAGATTTACACAATTTTATGAAAATTGAAGAGTTTTAAGGAAACTAGGTTTAGCTTTAATTTAAAGAAAAATGCAGAAAAGCTCCAGTTGTATCTATTTATTTATAATACTGGGTTGGGCTGGTTTTTATCACTACTTAAGGCACCCTACGTCTGCCCCAGATATGTTCTATGTTTATTCCATATTATTACATTGTGAATTAAGTTTCTATATCTTATTTCCATAGAAAATGGTCCCTGAAGGATAGAAAAAAGGTTTTAGGGTAAATAATAACCTCCCCCCCCCCACTACTAAATTTGCCTATTTATACAAAAAAAAAACATTTCCATACCTAGCTTACCCACAGTTCCACTCCCCTAGACTCAAATCGAATCCAGCACCATGCCAGAGTTAAGCTAGCTTGATGCCGGATTTATATTCGACTAACCGATATACCTGATGTATCCGAATGGCACAAGTCGGTTAATGGATCAGAAACTGGCACCAAGCTGGTATGACTCTGAACAACACTACTAGATTTAAATTGAGTCCAGCACCATTACAGAGTTACACCAGATTGGTGCTGGATTTCTGTTCGACCAACCGACCTGTACTATTCGGTTACATCACAGATAACACAAGTCGGTTAATTGATCGGAAATCCATCACCAAGCTCATGTGACTCTGGATTAGTACCAGATTTAAATTGAGTCTGGCACAATATCAGAGTCACACCAGCTTAATGCCATTTTTTTAATTCGATTAACCGACTGGTGCTATTTGGGTACATCCCTTTCAATTAATCTCACAATCCACAAGTAGATTTTCCATAACAAGACACACAAAAAGTGAACAAACAATAGACGACATTCGAGGAATAATATCACATTATATGTGGCACATCATGTGCAATTATGCTATGACATTTTCCGCGCGTCACTCCATGTTGACTGATATATGCTTCCGTCATTGCTTTTCATGAAGAATATTTCCCCATTGAAATGATGTTACACATCCCCAAAAAGTTCTTTTCAATGTCGTTGCTGTGTTTTCCTTTATGATAATTTTCATAAACAAACATATTTATGTTTAGGCGATGATTATGACGGTGACGACGCTGTCACACTGCTTCTTTATACTGATATTTGAGTGTGTGGTTTGAAGGAATGTAAACAGAACTTTCTTATAATTTTTTTTATTCATTGTTTTCCTTTCATTTTGAATATTTTCTCGCCAACAACTACGAAAAATGCGAGATTTTGCGAGCACATAAGTGGGTGAGAATGTCTTTTGGGTGTTTGTATCAAATACCAACAATTTTTTATTATCATTTTACTCTTACATGTCGTTTTCATTGTTATTGTTTCATATAAATCATGAAATTTGTTATTTTTTCCGTACTTTTTTACTCTTCCGGAACGAGTATGGAATAACTTTTTTACACCTAACTGATACAATCCTGGGAGTAAAGTGGTTTTAAAATGACGTTTTTGTGTTTCTGTTGTAAATTGTGTGGAAATGTGAAAATATTGTTAAAATGGTTTTAAAATTTTGTATATTTGACATTGATTAAAATTTGTGGGAATTAAATTTGCTGGTTTTTCAGTAATTTGAGGACTTAAAAAGCTGTTTTAATCAGTTTTCATTGTAATCGTTATTTGTTGGTCTCTTAATTGCTGATTTTGACTTTTCAACTATGATTTTGAATTGATTTTTAAAAAAATCTTTTTCACCGACGTTGGATCAAAAATAATTTTTCCATGGATTCTCCACATCGAGTTTTTAAACTTATTTTTCTCGTAATCAACACTGAGTATTTTAAATATTTTTGCATATTCATCATATTCAAGAGTGAGCATTAAAGCTATCATAATTTAAAATACTCTAAAATTAGTGAATAGTTCAGCCCATTTTAACCTCAATAATCGAACCCACAAAATAAATTCTTGAATCACATTAATAATCATAAACAAGTACTCACCTTCACGTGGAACATACATATTGAGATAGAGACAGTCCTCTGAGTAATTTGCCAACAAAGGTTTCATTCGACGAAGCTGTGCTAAACGTCCCCTTGGCATTTCCAACAATGCTTCCATTCCCGTATCAGTAACAGGCACGGTTTGCGGACATACTGGTGCAAAATGATCAGCTAAGCGTGTATTTTTCCATGTTGAAGGTGTCACTGGGGGCATGTATCTACAATTTTCGTGTTGACCCGAAGTAATATGAAAAGACAAAAAAAAGGATGAGAAAAAATGATATGACGATGTGTGTATAAAGGAACAACATATATTTATCTGTGCAACAAGAAGAAACAAATGTGGGAAAATTTGATGCGATTGGGACCAATTTATATTGTCTAAATCGTTCCTTTTGTTCAGCTACAATGCCACACAGTGTCATAAAGGTATAATGAAAATAATTTTTATGAGCTTGTTGAGACGATTGTCGGACATGAAATTTAAAAGTAAAGAAGCATATTACAGTGAATTTTTTTATAACGAGATTAGCAGAGAATGTTGGGTAAAAATATAAAAATAAAAACTTTTTCATGCTCTGCTCTATTAAATAAGAAATAAGAAAACTTTTTTTAATGCTGTCGATGTTTGTGGAAATGACAGTTTTAGAAATGTAAAAAAATTAAAAATCTTTTTAAAAGAAAGTTTAAGTAAGTTGTCGTGTACAAAGTCAATGCATCCCTCATGAACAGAATAATAAACTCTTTCAGGTAACTTTAGCAATATCTAATTTTCTATTATCTCTTTAAATGTCAAAATTTCAAAGATTTATGTGTCGATGGTTTCTTTTGAAAAAGGTTTTCATTAAAAAAAGGAGGAGTCAGCATGAAAAGTTTTAAGGAGTTGAAATAAATTGAAGCTTTTTATATTTTTTTTTCAATGCATAATAACTTTAAGGTACCTAATGAATCTGATTTTTGAGTGACACTCATAGACGACATAAAGAAATCCTCTAATGGAGCCCTAACTTCATCCAAACAATCACGAGAATATCATTTAATATTGACATTAATTTAACCATTTGAACCACGTGAGCTGAAGGAGCTCGGTGGCTGAATGGTTTAGTACTTCGATACATAATTATTGCAATACCAACACAGCGATCATGGGTTCGAGACTAGGCATGGGAAATTTTTCACTTGTCCTTTTTCAAATCATATGTACTGGAAATGAGGCTCACAGCCTCCCTTTGTAGGGCTACAAGCAGAAACGTCATCAAAGGTGCGGTTCTGAGCCCACCATAAATTGAATGTCAAGGTTTGAGTGTAGTGGTTTGGTGCATCCTCACTTGTTATACTATCATTAGCTGCGAAACGCCCTAACGCACCTCTGGATCACAATTGATCTGAACTATAATGATGGATGTCATTATTAAGTATGAATCCTTTCATATCAATTTTGTTTATCTAGAGCCTGACCTAAGCTCAGTTTTTGACAAGCTAGCTTCAACCCCCAAAAAGCTCTGCCTATGTCACTATCCATACATATATTTAACAATCAAAAAATCGCAAATATTTCCAAAAATTAAAAATCAACAAAAAATTTCTCATCCAAAACACCTTTTCCTCCATATCCTCGAGAGTTTAAAGAAGGCGCTTTTTAACAAATCACTTTAGATTTTCTAAATTGCATACAATTTTTCATGCCGCCTCTGTTGGGACAGAAATAATAGAGAGAACAGGGGAATAAATTGACTTTTTCATTTCAACTTTTATTTTTTGTGAGAAATCTCTTTCAATTTGAATCAAGTTAATATATTAAGTTTCATTATGACACTAGCACTACACAGAACTCTGTATGATTCAGAAAACAAAAGAGGTAGATTGGGAGAAATGATGGTCAAAAGCTGTTGAGGACAATTTCTGTGCACAACATTAATTTATGTCTAGCTATCAGGAATGAATAATTATGATGTAAATTTATGACTCACCTTAGGCTGCCCAACGGTGGCGTTGCTAAAAATGAGAAGGGATAGAACAAAAAAAAATTTATATATGGTTAAAAATGAATCGAGATCGGAGTGACTAAGGGAATAAGATAAAAAATATATATTTTAGAGACAAAAGGGATGAGAAATGTGAGCACAATTTATCAAACCGCACATATGTTTTTGATAAAAATGGAGCACTTTTCAACCATCTCTATTATCATTTCGTCGTCATTGTCATCGTATTTTTGGGGGATATATAAAATGTGGATATTGCTATATGTTATAAAATAATTCTGAAGTACAGACAATTTGAATGAATAAAACAATGGAAGTTTGTATTAAGGTTGGTTAGTATTTTGAAGATATCCACACCATGTGCTTTTTTTAAGCTGCCTATAAACACTGTAATCCATTCTGAGAGCCTAAACTAGGCACAATCTACTTGCTATCTAAGCTAACATAAATTGGCTCAAAACTCTCTATTCTGGTTAAAATTTGATCAACACATTTGAAGTTAGGCAACAATTCGAGATTCTTTTAGTCTAGTCAAACCTAGTTCAATCTAGTCTAATCTAGTCCAACTTAGTCTAATCAAGTTCTACCTAATCCAACCTATTCTAATCTAGTCCAACCTAGTTCAATCTAGTTGAATTTAGTCTAAACTAGTTCTACCTAATCCAACCTATTCTAATCTAGTCCAACCTAGTCCAATCTAGTCTAATCTAGTCCAACTTAGTCTAATCTAGTTCTACCTAATCCAACCTATTCTAATCTAGTCCAACCTAGTTGAATCTAGTCGAATTTAGTCTAAACTAGTTCAACCTAATCCAACCTATTCTAATCTAGTCCAAACTAGTTCAATCTAGTCTTAGTAAGTCCAATCTAGTCCAATCCAGTTGAAATTATTTTTATCTAGTCCAACCTTGTCCAATCTAGTTCAACCTAGTCCAATCTAGTTCAACCTAGTCAAACTTAGTCTAAACTAGTCCAATCTAGTCCGATTCAGTTTAAATTTTTTGGATCTAGTCCAACTTAGTCCAATCTAGTTCTACCTAGTCTGACCTACTACAAACTAGTCTAACCTACTACAACCTAGTCGAACCTAGCCCAATCTAGTCTAATCCAGTAAAATCAAGTCGAAAATGACCCAACTTATTCCCATCTAATCTTGATCATCCCAAAAAAAAAAATCTACTAAAACTAAACCCCACAAACTTATATCAGATTATAAAATCAACACAAAGCAGATTACGGTGTGAATTCTAAAATAATCGAGACATAAAAAATATATTTTCTGACAATGTCAACGTCTCGTTGCGTGCGGCACGATGATGAAATGGGGAGAGATGATATAGTTAACGTGCACCATGAGTATACACACACACACACAGCATATCCACGAGTGAATGAATGTGTATAGTCATTGCATAAATGAATGGAAGAGAAAAAAAAGGTCAAATTTTTGATGATTGCCTTACCGTAGGGCACTCCCAAATACCCCTCCACAGTCGGATTCTGTCTCATCACAATGCCACGTATCGGACCATACTTGGTTTTGACTACATTCGTACTATATTTTAAATTATGAACACTTGATGCTGCCGCTGTTGTTAGCAGTGGTATACATAGAATGATGAGAAATAGAATTGCATTCAAATGGCTTTTAACGCTATCATTTGAACGAAATACTGGACGATGTGGAAAGTGCTGAAAGTAATTTGAAAATTTTTCATTCTCTTCCTCGTTATGGCGACTGTTTCGATGCTGCTGATGATAGCACTTGTCATTATCATCCTGTGACATTTTCAGTTTATGATTACTACTCGTTGTAATAGCCGCAATACCATTTTCAATTGAGAGTGTCGATCTGTCAGTTGTATAAAATTTTAATGTAAGAGAATAATGGCATATCGATGTTATATACAACACAATTTGATTATGTGCAAGCAATTGTCTTAAAATCTGATGTCTCATTATTAAATTGTTGATTCTTTCACACTGATTATTACTAAATTCGTAATTGTTGCATAATAGTAGATGACGTTGTATCAATAAAATTCCATAGAAAAAATTTAATGTCCTTAAGCCATTTCGTAGCTTTTCAGTCGTTAACGATGATGTTGTTGATTTGACTACGTAACGATGATACTCAATTCCATGTTTGACATATATTATGTTCTTGTTGTTATTATTATTATTATTTTTTATACATTTAACATTATTATTATCATTTTCATTTATAATAAATAAAAGATTTTCACTATTTGTACTCAAATCACAAAATTCATTAACACTATTATCCAGATTGAATGCTGCTAGATGCTGCTGCTGATACCACAAATAATGAAACAACATTTGACTGTTAAAATGTCCATAAAATAAATTCAATAAAATTTTATAGAATTTCATATAAAATGTTGACGTTGTCTTGAGATGCAAAAAGGAAATGAAACTTTTATTGATCATTAAATTTTTATTCGATGCTCCTCCATACATTGTCGACGACGACAACGACGATTGATGATGACTGTATTTGTAGAATATTGTTACAATATCTGTTGCTGCAGGTGATTGAAATCTTTCACATTGTTGATGATATTGTCGATTATTGGACATGTGAATAAGCTGCAATAATCGACTGTAAAATGGCCACCAGTCATTGTCGAGTAAAAATATTCTCACAAATAAATAGATGAAATTTAATTTTAATTTATCTACTGAACACAACGACCACTGATGCCCATGATGATGATGATAGTTATGACTATTTACTATTTTACAATATGATGTTGAGGACACTTGAATGTACATCCAGTCATGATCTGTTTCATTTTGACGTGAGTTAGATGCCGCAAGTATTTTTTGCACCACATTTTCACTAATTTTACTGGTACAGTCGCTATTTAATTGTATTTTAATTTGCATTTATATCCTTTGGATGAATGTAAACTTAGCAATTTAATGGTGTATCCGGATAAAGTCCTGCAAATACATACAAAAATAAATGAGAATTAGTTTTGAGCTATAAAGTATAAAGTGTAATAGGGCGAGAATTACGAGCGAGAATTAAGGATGAGAGGAGATTGAAGGATTTTTTAAGCCTTCTTGGGGAGAAATATCCTTAAGCACAGTAAAATAATCACTCCATAAATTTTTACTATCACTCTAATTTTTGCAATATTTTTTTCTCCCTTATTCTGTTCGTTCTTCTTGTTCTTGGATCATTGTCTTTTTTGTTTTTGGGTTTTATTTCTTTTTTTGGAGGTTAAGAGGAATTGGTTTTGGCATTTTGTCTAGAATTTTTTGCTAAATACTTCAACTGATGATCAGAAATACAACTTTGCACAACCTTTTGGATTTATGTATTAAGCAGCAATTTTAAGGTCTCATTTCTGTATTTCTTGGGATTTTGTTTTGTTTTTTGGAATTAATTTTGGTATATCCAGGAAATTATTGAAGCGATGGTTTTTATTTTTTCACGAAAAATTCTAGCTTCTTCTTCTTCTTTGGGTCGAAAATCCACACAATTACCCCCCACCTTGGCTGCACGATACACCTGACAATATTCATACAGCAACAACAAATCGTGTCACTTTACTTCTATTTTTAAATATATTTCTCTTCGTTAAAAGGTACATACCCCTTTTGAAAAAGTACTTAATGAACAGGAGCTGTTATATGCCAAATAAACCGCTTATTTATTTCTTGAAATTTTACTGATGTTGAATGCACTTCGTTAAATAACTCGTCAAGCATCGCTATGACAATGATTGTTAACATTTAACTAGAGTTACTTTTGAGGTTTTCCAACAAAAGAAAGCTTTAAATTTTTTTTAATACTTCCAGATTTTTTGGTGAAGTTTTATTCTAATCTAAATTAAAGATTCGCTTTTCTTCATCTTCAATTTATTACCAAATCTTCCAAACTTTACTGCCCCAATAAAAAAAGTCTTAAATTAGCAAAACATCTGCCAGCGGCTATTTACCAATTAAATATATTTTCTCTGTCTATTCAAGATGATTTTTCTGCGGTTTTATCTTAATATTTAATTGTTTTCTATAAAAAAGTTGCCATCACCAAAATTTTTATATTTCATGAAATAAAAGCTTCAAGCACAACAATCGAGGGATTTTTTTGCTTCTTCGTATTTCGGGTATGGATGATAATTGGATGAAATTTTTCTCCTTTTTTTGTGCTCACATCTCTCATCATTATTTTATAATCAATTACTTATTCAACTCAGGATTCAAAGGGACTTCATTCATTCAAGTGAATCTCATAATTTTTTGGTGCATTTCTTATAAGGAAAAGAGCTTTTGCTGGATGATTGGACTGTATTATTTGTCTGATTATACATTTAATGAGTTGTTGTTTGGGTTTAAGGTTCAAAAGTTGGTCTGAGATTTTGATATGCAGAACTAATAAAATTGCATAAACCTCTACAGTGGCGCGGTCATAAACTTTTTGAGGAGCAGTGGTGGTCGAAATGAGAGAAAAAATTACAAAAGTCCTCGTGTTATTGATCGAGGGACTTCAGCGCATTTTTGACGAAGCGATCAGTATTTGATTATAATTAATAATTTGCTGCAATGAATTTCCATATAGAAAAAGTTTATCATTTAACGGTTTTTTAAAATTTGAAATTTTACAACGGCTAGAAAAAATTTGAAATTATAGAGGTAAATTTGAATTTATAGAGGTAAAACAAAATTTGAGCAGGTTACACTGAAAACAAAACAAAAACTCATTAATTATAGCATAAATACACTGCTTGAAGACTTTTAACTGTTCGATCGGACAATAAACAATAGTAACGGAGCTAATAAAACAAATCCGAGCTCTCTACGATGTCTGGTTGCAAAGTTTTTATGCTTGCCCGAACGAACGAACAAAGTGTATTATTGAGCTCCCTTTTCGAAAACAAGTTTTCAAAAATGCGCTAAAAAGTTTTGAAAAAATTCTAAACTAAAGGATATTTTATAAGTAAGGGGTTTGATTCCAAACCCTTAGAATATAATATGATGTAGGGTTTTGCTTATAGCAAAAGTGACGCTGCGAACAATGATCTATTGTACCATCCCAAGTCCCCTATTATAAAATTCTAATGTCCTTAATAAAGCGAATAATGTCCTGATAATGCTGCTTACCGCTGCTTATTTGTATAATTAAGACAAACCCTTCTTAACTTCGCCCATTGACCTATAAAATTACTTACTCCTCCCCCTCTCTCTGATGTCCCTTAAAAAGTAGACGTAATAAGTATACGAGCCTCAACATCATAGTTTTACTAGTCAGAAATGAACAATTGTAGCTTGAGTCTAATTCAAAAATTTTGCACCTCTTTTGATGAATTTTGGGGTCTCCTGAAGTCTTATAATCTTAAAATCTTACTCCTCAATCGATATATTTTCAATATTTCTAAACCATTACATCTGAGTATCATTTAAAAGTATGTAAATGCGCTTGCATCACTCACAAGTGAACATTCTGTACTTTTTTTTATCAAATGCTTAAAAGTATCATTATCTCGGTTCTTTATAAGAATTTCCATGTAAAAGCAAATATTATCAGCATCCTTAACAAACATAATTATAAGCTTGGTCTCGAGAGAGATTGAAGATGGGAGGAAAAATCAATAACGAAAGAGGAAGAAAGAAAATTTCCGATTTTTTTTTCTTATTATGCCAGGCGTATACACATAGAAAAGGATTTGAAGTTGACTTTATAGTCTATATGGAATATTTATTTATTTAAGTGGGGTGGGGAGGTTTTACCCTCAAAATTGACAAAATTATTAAGAACGACTATTTTTGTTGAAATAATTTATTGATGTTGTAAGAAAATATTTCCTTTTTATAAGAATAGCATTAGAGCTGCAATGGTTTTAGTTTGAAAGAATGAAGAAAGTTTCCTTTTTTTATGTTTGTATAATTTAAGGCTCTTTATATGGAAACCTTTAGCAGTGATTCTGTAAGTCTCTTGAACTTTTATTGATACTTTGCTTGAATTTATGAAGAAATTGTTGCCCATTAAATGTCAATATCATTTTTGGGGATTGTTTCTCGAATTTTTTTGAGGATTATTTGACTTTTAACTTTTTCGTCGAATAAATAATTTGTGATTTCATATTCTTGCCCTGATTAAATCATTTGTGAACATAGGGAAGACAGCTTTGAAATCCAGACAAGCCTGAATCATCAAATTAATCAAACACCAACCATAAAATTGAACATCAATTCATCATTAAAACTTCAAACAGATTTGAAAATTCTAAAAAAATTTCAAGTTTCCATAAAGTTCAATCGATACATCTCATTAATTCAAACAAATATTTTGCTTTGCGGTTAAAATTGGAAGAACTCCAGATTTGAAAAAAAAGAGATGAATTGAGGTTGAAGACAAAACCACACAATTTTAATTTGTTTCGATCGTATTTTGCTGTTGGCAATATCAATTAAGACGATGCTATAGATTGTAATGCTAATTGTTTTTCATTGTGGATTAATTTTAATGTTTGAAACTTTTAACAAACGAGGGTGAAACTTTTGATTGGCTGTCTATCAGGAGTATTTTTTCGAGTTTTTCATAAAAACTCTAGCAAAATGAAAAATTTCTCAAGACGAATGGGGATTTGTCCCTCAAATTTCACAGTTTTCTCTAAGTAGAATGAAGCTTCAGCTATCGAACAATAAATCTGCCAGTTCGAGAGAAAAGCTTTCAGGCTGATTGATCAGTTTGATTCCCATTTTGAATTTGTCTTTCAAATATTGTATCGAGTGATCGAGAACTCACATGATATAGAATATATTTCATAAAAAAATCTAACCTTATTCAAACTTTTTTAATTGCATTTTTCTTTTAAACCAAATTAATTGCAAATTTAAAATGCATAACCTTAAACTCAATTAGAAACAGCTCGTAAAGCTCTTAACATAACATAAAATATTAAAGTTTAATCTTCTTATTGTTCCCATCAAATATAAAATATAAAACTACATGATTGAAACATTCTTGCTGTCTAACAAGAATCAATCTAGAAATCTTTCAAGTCCATATCAATGGAAACTTTAAGGGATCCATGAACTCTTAACAAAGTCAATGAAACTTTGTCTATAATATTTTAATCGATGATAGTTATGAAAAATAAATAGAAACAACTTAAAAGGTAGTTCGTTCGTAAATGATGTCTTTAAAAATAAGAAAGTATAGATCTACATGTCTACAATAGATTCTTAAAGAATTTAAATTAATTCAATCAAGGATCGCAGTTCTTTCAGCTAACTTGGGTAAAATAAAATCTTTAATTTTCATGTTAAAGATGATTGACTTCTCATCTTATAAATAAATTTATTTACTTTAATACTATACATACACACACACACACACACACACACGCATCCTTCACATTAATCTTGAAGCAATTGAATTGAGAGAAAATAACGTACAAGATATGGAGATTTAATATTTAATGAGCAATTAAGTCGTTTGTCGAGTTTTGTGGCCTTTTTCATCCTTCAAGAATATCAGCAAATGAATAAAACATTAACCAATATTCCGCAAGTTAATCATCAAATGCACAATATTGTATGTTACATCAGGCTGATAAATTGTTAAGAATAAGAAGTAATTTTCAAGATTGTTTGCTAAATTGTTGCGGTTAAGATGAATTTTATTGCTATTATTATTATTTCCATTGAATACATTTTCTGTCTAAATATCACAAAAGTTTTGAGAATGGTTGTGTTTAAATTAGCATGAGAGACGAGATAAAGATTTTTGAGAGGAAGAACAAAAAAAATCTTTTTTGAAATGTTTGATAACCCAAAAACTGCCTTAGGCGCATTTCTTTGTGTTCTGAAAAAATGTTTCTAAATCTCAAACGAAGTCCTCAAAGGGGTCGTCACTTATGATGTGAAAACATGGTTTTTGGATACCCCCATCCCCCCTCGCTGTCACAGAACATATTTTTTTTGAACCAGGG